GGGGGCTTGGGGGTCCTGGAGGAGTTTTAGGGGTTCTTAGAGGGGTTTGGGGGAGGGTGGGGGGGTCTCAGGGGGGTTTGGGGTCCCTGGAGGGGACGTGCAGGTGATAGACGAGGACATCATGGTGGAGCTGGGTGAGTTTTGGGGGCATTTGGAGGAAATTTGGAGTTCCTGGAGGAGTTTTAAGGGCTTGTAGAGGGGTTTGGGGGGAGATTTGGTGTGAAGTTTGGCAGATTGGGGTCCCTGGAGGGGGTTTGGGGGTCCCAGGGGGGTTTAGGGTCTCTGGAGGGGATGCACAGGTCATGGACAGGGACATCGTTGTCGAGTCGGGTGAGTTTTGGGGGAATCTGGGGGAAATTTGGGGATTTGAGGGGAATTTGCTGCCCCTGGAGGAGTTTGTGATGAGGTTTGGGAGGTTGGGATGAGGTTTGGGTGGTCCTGGGGGAGTTTTTGGGGGTCTCAGAGGAGATTTGAGGAGTCCCAGGTGGTATTTGGGACATAAATATTGGGATTTGGTTGATCCCGAAAGAAATTTACAGATCCTAGATAGAACTCGAGCCATAAATTCAGAATATTTCCAAGCGCTTTTCGGGGTTATCACACCCCCAAATTCCTCCATTTCCGCTGCAATTTTTTCCTAATTTTTAACCCGCTATAAATCCTCTATAAATTTTTAAACGTTTTATCTTTTTTTGGGGTTTTTTTTAGGTGACGATTCGTGGGATTTGATCACCTGCTACTGCCAAAAACCCTTCGCGGGCCGGCCCATGATCGAGTGCAGCCAGTGCGGCACCTGGATCCACCTGTCCTGCGCCAAGGTGAAGAAAAACAACGTCCCCGACGTCTTCTATTGCCAAAAATGCCGCGAGGGACCCCGCAGGGCCACCCCCGCCACCCCCCGGGCCGCCGGGGACTCCTAAACCCCCTCCCCAAAAAGGGCTTTTGGGGGTCCCCGGCCTCGCTTCCGGCAGGGTTTGTGCTCAAAATCGGAAATTTTGGGGGTTGCGACCTTCCCTGGAATTGTGGGGTTTGGAGGTTCCTCCTGAAAATTAAGAAGTTTTGGGGGGGGTTGGATCGTTCTCAAAATTTGGAATTTTGAGGGTTGGATGTCGGCCCGGAATTGTGAGGTTTGGGGTTGGTGACGTTCCCGCAAAATTGGAGATTTTGGGGTTTGTGGCTCTCCCTGGAATTGTGAGGTTTGGGCGTTGGAAGGTGCCCAAAATTGGAGATTTTGAGGGTTGGAACCTCCCCCCTCTCCAAATTGTGAGGGTTTGGGGTTTGCAAAAACCCTGAAATTGTGAGATTTTGGCTCCAGCTCCCTCAAAAATGGGGAGGTTTGGGGGACTTTTACCTCCTCCCCATAAGTTGTGGGGTTTTGGGGTTCCGGTTAAATTTTGGGGGTGGTTTGGGGTCCCTCATCTGCAGGACAGGAGGGTTTTGGGGTACAAGATTTGGGGGGCTCTTACCCCAAATCATGAGTTATTTTGGGTCTCCCACCCCCAAGATGGGAAGATTTGGAGGGGGTTCCCTCACCCCAAATTAAGATTGGGGGAAGCCCCCCTTAGATAGGGGAGGTTTGGGGGGTCCCCCTACCCCAAATTATGAGATTTTGGGGTCCCCCCACCCCCAGGAAAGGAGGGTTTGGGGGTCCTTCACCCCAGACAAAAAAGATTTTGTGGAGTCCCCCTAAAATAGGGGGATTTTGGGGTGTTCTTTGCCCCAAATCATGAGATTTTGGGGTGTTCCACCCCCCAGAAAAGGAGAATTTGAGGGCCCCACACCCCCAAGTAAGATTTGGGGAAAACTCCCCTAGAAGAAGGGGTTTTGGGGTTCCCTACCCCAAAATAAGAGACTTTTGGGGTTCCCTGCACCATGTTATGAGGTTTTGGGGGCTCAGTTAAAATTTGGGGGACCCCATCAAGTTCAAGGGGTTTTTAACCCCCGCAGGGCACGAAGTGGAAAACGTGAGGGGGAAAAAGGGCGGGAAAACATGAGGGGAGAAAATGGTGGAAAAGATGAGGGGGAAAAAGGGCGGGAAACGTGAGGAGAAAAGGGCGGGAATTGTGAGGGGGAAAAAGGCGGGAAAACATGAGGGGAGAAAATGGTGGAAAATGTGAGGGGAGAAAAGGGCGAGAATTGTGAGGGGAGAAACGGTGAAGACATGAAAGATCAAAAGTGGGAAATATGAGGGGAAGATGGCGGAAAACGTGAGAGGAAAAAGGGTGGAAAATGTGAGGGATAAGAGGTAGGAAATGTGAGGGGAAAAGGGTGGGAAAAGTAAAGGGGAAAATAGTGGGAAATGGGAGAGGAAAAAGAGTGATAAATGTGAGGGATAAGAGGCAGCAAATGTGAGAGAAAAGAGTGGGAAAGGTGAGGGGAAAATGGTGGAGAAATGAAAAGAAAATGCTGGGAAATGTGAGGGAGAAAAGTGGAGATGTGAAGGGACGAGGTGGCAGAAACATGAGGGGAAAACGGCAGGTAAGATGTGGGGAAAAAGAGAAATGTGAGCGGCAGACATGAGGGGAAAAAGGGTGGGAAACAGGGAAAAGTGCTGGAAACGTGAAGGGAAAAAGAGCAGGAAAAAGTGGAATATGGTGGGAAACGTGAGGAGAAAAATGATGTGAAATGTGACAGGGGAAAGATGGTGAAAACGTGAGGGGGAAAGGGTGGAGATATTTTAATAAACCCGGGGTTTTATTTAAACTGAAGACCCTAAAAATCACCCATTAGTTTTTGCCCTTAAGACTATACCCTGGAAACAGCTACAAAAATCAGTTTTTTCTTTAAATTTAAATCTTTTATCTCGCTTGTTAACTTGGCAGGGTTTCACCTTAAATTAAACCCTAGAAATGGTGAAAAAACCAGATTTGTCTTTTAAACGCAAATCACCCATTAGTTTGGGGAGGGGGCTGTCTCTTGTAAAAATAAGTCCTAAAAATAGCGAAAAAAACCGGGATTCGCTTTAAATTTTAATCCTTGTAAGTCTTAATTTAGAAAAATCATTCCCTAAAATTAAACGCTAAACAAATAAGAATTTACCTCAATTTAAGCCCCGCTGGTGGCGCGTCCAAACCTTTAAACCCCGCCCCTCAAGCCACGCCCACATCAACCATCACCATGGCAACCACACGAGAAGTAATATAGCCTAGCCTCATTAGCATAAATTAGCATCTATTTGCATACAGGAATGGGCGTGTTCACTACGTTTCCCAGCGTGCCCCGCGCGCCGAGGCCACGCCCACGACCGTGACCTTGTGTGAGGGAAAGGGGGGGGGGCTTGGGGACACCCCGGGGACACCCCCGGGTTTGGGGATCTTGTGGGGGTTTTGGGGGTCCTGGGGGGATTTTGGGGCAAATTGGGGCAATTTGGGTGGTCGTGGGGGGATTTTGTGGGGAATTTGGGGTGTTTTGGGGGGGTCCTGGAGGGATTTTGGGGGGAATTTGAGGGATTTGGGGGGGTCCTGGGGGGATTTTTGGAGTCTTGGAGGGGATTTTGGGCACTCCTAGAACAATTTGGGGGAATCTATGGAAGATTTTGGGGTCCAGAAGAGAATTTTTTGGGGGGGATTTTGGGGGTCCAGGAGGATTTTTTGGGGGGTCCTGGTGGGATTTGGGGTTTTTGGGGTGCCCCTAAAATTCTTTTTCCCCCCCCAGGAATCCAAATCCTTCGCTGTGGGGATGTTTTTGGGGCGCCTGAACGCCGAGCAGGTGTTCCCCTACCCCTCAGGTGAGGGCACCCCAAAATTTGGGGGATTTGGGGAAATTTTGGGTAAAATCTGGGGAAAATAAGAGGAGATTTAGGGGAATTTTAGGTGAAATTTTGAGGGAATTTTGGGTGAAATCTGGGGAAATTTAGAGGAGATTTAGGAGAATTTTGAGGGAATTTTAGGTGAAATTTTGAGGGAATTTTGGGTGAAATCTGGGGAAATTTAGAGAAGATTTAGGGGGAATTTTGGGTAAAATCTGGGGAAATTTAGAGGAGATTTAGGGGGATTTTGGGTGAAATCTGGGGAAATTTAGAGGAGATTTAGGGGGAATTTTGGGTGAAATCTGGGGAAATTTAGAGAAGTTTTAGGGGAATTTTGAGGGAATTTTAGATGAAATCTGGAGAAATTTAGAGGAGATTTAGGGGGAATTTTGGGTGAAATCTGGGGAAATTTAGAGGAGATTTAGAGGGAATTTTGAGGGAATTTTGAGAGCAATTTCAATGTAATTTTTCAGAATTTTGGGGTAATTTTAGGGCAATTTTAGGATAAATTTGGGATAACTTCAGGACAATTTTGGGAGATTTTTGGGACATGAGGGAAACAATTTTGGGGTAATTTTGGGGTAATTTTTCTTTAATTGTCTCTTTTCCCCCAGTCCTGACCGAGGAACAGGAACAAACCCTGCAGGAGCTCGTGGGTCCCCTCACCCGCTTCTTTGAGGTAAAAAACCCCAAATTTCCCCAATTCCCACCTCCCCCCCATCCAGAGAGAACCCCTGGAATTCCAGGAATTCTCCCCACGTCCCAAAATTCCCCAAAAAATTCCCAAAATCTGGGGCAGGAAGTGAACAACCCGGCCAAAAACGACGCCCTGGAGAAGGTGGAGGACGAGACCATGAAAGGGTTAAAGGAGCTGGGGACCTTCGGGCTCCAGGTGCCCCCCGAATTTGGGGGGCTGGGGCTCAACAACACCCAGGTGAGGCACCCCCCAATTTGGGGAGCCCCAAAATCCCCTCCCAGTAGCTCCCAGTAACTCCCAGTTCTGTCCAAAATCCCCCAAATCCTCCCTAATCCACCCAAAATCTCTTCAAATTAACCCCATAATCCTCCCTAAATTCATCCCAAATCCCCCCAGGACCCCCCAAAATTCCCTTGGCACCCCAAATCCCCCCTCCCAGTAAGTCCCAGTAAGTCCCAGTGCTCTCCCAGTGTTCCCAGTTCTGTCCAAAATGCCCCAAATTCTCCCTAATCCACCCCAAATCCTCCTTAAATTTCCCAAAATCTCCCCAGGACCCCCCAAAATCCCCTTGGGACCCCCCAAATCCCCTCCCAGTAACTCCCAGTGCTCCCAGTTCTGTCCAAAATGCCCCGAATTCTCCTTAATCCACCCCAAATCCCCCCCTAAATTAATCCAAAATCTCCCCAGGACCCCCCAAAATCCCCTCCCAGTTCGTCCCAGTGCTCCCAGTTCTGTCCAAAATCCCCAAATCCTCCCTAATCCACCCAAAATCTCTTCAAATTCACCCCAAATCCTCCTTAAATTTCCCAAAATCCCCCCAGGACACCCCAAAATCTCCTCCCAGTAGCTCCCAGTAACTCCCAGTGCTCCCAGTTCTGTCCAAAGTGCCCCAAATTCTCCTTAATCCACCCCAAATCCCCTCCCAGTGCCCCCCAAACCTCCCCAAATCCCCTCAAAACTCCCCTGGACCCCCTCAAAGCCCCCTGGGACCCCCCAATCTCCACCCCAGGGGGCTCCCAGTCCCTCCCAGTCCCTCTCAAACCTCCCCAAATCCCCTCAAAGCCCCCTGGGACCCCCCGATCTCCACCCCAGGGGTTCCCAGTCCCTCCCAGTCCCTCCCAGTCCCTCCCAAACCTCCTCAAATCCCCCTGGGACCCCCCGATCTCCACCCTAGGGGTCCCCAGTCCCTCCCAGTAAGTCCCAGTGCCCCCCAGTACGCGCGGCTGGTGCAGATCGTGGGCCAGCACGACCTGGGCGTGGGGATCACGCTGGGAGCCCACCAGTCCATCGGCTTCAAGGGGCTGCTGCTCTACGGGACCCCTCAGCAGAAGGAGAAGTACCTGCCCCGCCTGGCCACAGGTGAGGACAGCCCATAATAGTCCTGGGAACTCACCTGGGACAGCCTGGAATGAGCACGGGAACTCACCTGGGACAGCCCATAATAGTCCTGGGAACTCACCTGGGACAGCCTGGAATGGTCTCAGAAACTCACCTGGGACAGCCCGGGGTGGGCACGGGAACTCACCTGGGACTGCCCATAATAGTCCTGGGAACTCACCTGGGACAGCCCGGGGTGGGCACGGGAACTCACCTGGGACAGCCCATAATAGTCCTGGGAACTCACCTGGGACAGCCCGGGATGAGCACGGGAACTCACCTGGGACAGCCCATAATAGTCCTGGGAACTCACCTGGGACAGCCCGGGATGAGCACGGGAACTCACCTGGGACAGCCCATGCACCTGAAATATCCTGAAATATTCCCAAAAATTCACCCAAATATTCCCAGAAATTCACCCAAATATTCCCAGAAATGCACCTGAAATATCCTGAAATATTCCCAAAAATTCACCCAAATATTCCCAGAAATTCACCCAAATATTCCCAGAAATGCACCTGAAATATCCTGAAATATTCCCAAAAATTCACCCAAATATTCCCAGAAATTCACCCAAATATTCCCAGAAATGCACCTGAAATATCCTGAATTATTCCCAAAAATTCACCCAAATATTCCCAGAAATTCACCCAAATATTCCCAGAAATGCACCTGAAATATTCCCAGAAATGCACCTGAAATATCCTGAATTATTCCCAAAAATTCACCCAAATATTCCCAGAAATTCACCCAAAATATTCCCAGAAATTCACCTGGGACAGCCTGGAATGTTCCCAGAAACTCACCCAAATATTCCCAGAAACTCACCCAAATTATCCTGAAATATTCCCAGAAATTCACCTAAACATTCCCAGAAATTCAGGCAATCCCAGGCTGCCTGTGGCCATTCCCAAACTCCCCAAAATCCCAAAATTCCCATTTTTTGGGAGACTTAGGGATAACTTCAGGGCTTTTAGGGTGGAATTTTTGAATTTTTGGGTGGAATTTTTGAATTTTTGGGACTTTTAGGGTGAAATTTCTGCATTTTGGGAGTTTTGGGGTAGAATTTTTGCATTTTTGGGCCTTTTTGGGTGGAATTTTTGCATTTTTGGGACTTTCTGGCTGGAATTTTCCCATTTCTGGCTCTTTCTGCACGGGATTTTCGGGGATTTTTGGGAACTTTCCACCCTCAGGCAATCCCAGGCTGCCTGTGGCCATTCCCAAACTCCCAAAATTCCCCAAAATTCCCATTTTTTAGGGGAGTGGGTGGAAAATCCAGGTACTTTTGGGACCTTTTGGGTGCAATTTTCTCATTTTTGGGACTTTTTGGGTGGAATTTTTGTATTTTGGGGTGGAATTTTTGCATTTTTTGTGCATTTTAGGGTGGAATTTTCCCATTTCTGGGTGGAATTTTTTGCTTTTTTTTTGCATTTTCGGCTGGAATTTTCTCATTTCTGGGTGGAATTTTCCCATTTCTGGCTCTTTCTGCACCGGATTTTCGGGGATTTTCGGGGTTTTCCCGCCCTCAGGCAATCCCAGGCTGCCTGTGGCCATTCCCAAACTCCCCAAAATCCCAAAATTCCCATTTTTTGGGAGACTTAGGGATAACTTCAGGGCTTTTAGGGTGGAATTTTTTCATTTTTGGGTGGAATTTTTGAATTGTGGGTGGCAGCTTTCTGCCTGACGGAGCCGGGCAGCGGCTCGGACGCCGCCTCCATCCGCACGCGCGCCACGCCCAGCCCCTGCGGAACCTTCTGGACCCTGGAGGGGGAGAAGATCTGGATCAGGTCGGGAATCCCGGGAATTCCGGGAATTCCGGCTGGGGCAGCCCCGAATTTGGGGGGTTTGGGGGGAAAATCCCGGATTTTGGGGCGAAAATCCCGATTTTTGGGGGGTTTTAGTGGAAATAATTTGAATTTTGGTGGATTTTTGGTTGGAAAAAGTCAAATTTGAGAGGGTTTTATTGGGATTTTCCAGAGTTTTGGGGATTTTGGGGTGAAAATCTTGGATTTTTGGGGGGTTTTAGTGGGAATAATTTGAATTTTGGTGGATTTTTGGTTGGAAAAAGTCAAATTTGAGAGGGTTTTATTGGGATTTTGGGAATTTTTGGGGGTTCTGATTCAGAGATCCCAAAATCTGAGGGGGTTGAGGGGGGAAATGCCAAATTTTGGGCATTTTAGTTGGAAAATTCTCCCAAAATTCCCCAATTTTCCCCCCAAAATCCTCAATTTTCCCCCAAAAATCCGTAATTCTTTCCCAAATTCCCAATTTCCCCCAATCCCCATTTTTTTCCCAAAATTCCTGATTTTTTTCCCAAAATCCCCGATTTTCCCCCTAAATTCTGCCCAAATCCCCAATTTTCTCCATAAAACCCCCATTTTTTTCCCCAATTTCCCCCCAAAATCCCCAATTTTTTCCCAAATTTCCCCCAATTTCCCCCCAAAATCCCCAGATTTTGTCCCAATTCCCCCCAAAATACCCAGATTTTTTCCCCGAATTTCCCCCCAAAATCCCCA